TGTGTTTTCAGGAGACGGAACAGCTTTTGGAGTAAGTAGGGCTCTAAGCTCCAAAGGCTTTATAAATGTGTTGGAAGATCTTGAATAATTTTTTCTTATTTTGTGCTTTTTAAATGCTTCATCTCTTTTTAGAGACATATACTCATTGTTAGTTACTTCTTTTAGTGAAAGTACAAATGGTGAAAGGGGATCATTTAAAATTATTTAAATTTACAAGTAATGAAGAAGTAGCTGCTTTGAAAAGGCTTGACTCATGACCCGTTTGTGGCTGTGTAAGCAAGTAGTGATGTCCTGATGTCCTGGGCCGTAGTCCTGTATACACGTCCTGCCTGCCCGAGGAGGGAGGGAGAGTTAAGGAAACATCAGGCAGGAGAGCGGGAGCGGTCCGTCCTGTGTCGGGCTTTTTTTGCGGTTCTTATGTAAAAATCATCTGTTGGGATGTCTAATTCTTATCAAAAAACTCACCCCTTGACTTAACTTCTAAGTAGGGTCATTAGCTTCACAGTCATGATTTTTATGCTCTGTCAAAAGCAGTATTCTGAAACGTTTGTTTGTCCTCATTTTGTATTTGATGACGGGGGGGGGGGGGTATCNGAACGACTCTGGGGGGGAAGGAAGGAAGGTCACTGCTTGCTGAGGACAGCGTCTCATTTCCTGAGCTGGCTGCACCTCAGCCCACAGGCACCTCCTTGTTCCTGTTGTCCCACCAGAGCCCAGGTCCCCCTCGTTTTCCTTGTATCTTCCTTGTGATGGCCTGGTGCTTGTGTCCCCACCGTGGATCTCCTGTTGAAGTCCTCGTCCCCATTGTGATGATGATTGGCGGAGGGCCCTTGTGATCTGATCTGTGCTCTCACAAGAAGAGAGATTGGAAAGCGTGCTTTCGCTTTCTGCTGCATGAAGACACAGCAAGAAGTCAGCTGTTGGCAAGCCAAGATGCGAACTCTCACCAGAACCCAACTATGCTGGCCCTGATCTTAAACTTCCAGCCTCCTGACCCATGAAGAATAACTGTCTGGTTTAAGTCACCCAGTCTGCTGTGCTGTGGCAGGTAAGGCAGCTGAGCCTACCAGAATCCCCATATGCCCCTTTTCTCCACTTTGACACCCTTCCGACTTTGGCCACAAACCTCAGAATCAGCGTGCTGTGTCTCAGGAGCCAACCTGAGTTAATCTAGGTTAGTGGGGCATGTGTATCTGGAGGAGAGTGATGCGCTTTTCCTTTTTCAGATGCCCAGCATTGTTCCTCTCCCAGGTGTCGGGGACTGAGGCTGACTTGGGGACTGAGCAGTTCCGAGGTGGACTTCACGGGGAGGTGACAGAGCTTCAGCTCCATCTAGGTGCTGCCTCAGGCACCACCCCTGTGGTGTCTGCGCTGGGTCCGTGTTCATACCTGTGGGCTTTCCAGGTGCCCATGCCCGCCAGCTCCCGGTGTTTTGTTACCTTAGCAGCTGGCACGGGAGTTTTTTTTTGTGAACTAGAGGCTCAGCTATTAAAACATAAAACTTGGCTCTTCTTGAATATCGTATGTTTCCATCAGGACTTGGACCTGGGACAGCTCATGTGGTCACTTACCTCTCTCAGGACTGAGAACCCAGTGTTCCTCTGACTTCTGACCACACTTTCACCTGCTGGTTCCAAGTGCAGTTTCCATCCTGGAAAATCCTGTTAATGCTTTTGATTTGTTGAGCACCAGTTTATTAACATTTACTTACTCTTTGTTGTTCTTCAGTCGCCAGTTTGTGACCCCCTGAATTGCAGCACACCGTGCTTCCCTGTCCTCCACTATCTCCCGGAGTTTGCCCAAATTCGTGTTCTCAAATCAGTGATGCCATCCAACCATCTGGTCCTCTGTCACCTCCTTCTCCCCCTGCCCTCAATGTTTCCCAGCATCAGGGTCTTTTCCAATGAGTCGGTTCTTCGCATCAGGTGGCCAGAGTATTAGAGCTTCACCTTCAGCATTAGTCCTTCCAATGAGTATTCAGGGTTGATTTCCTTTAAGATTGACTGATCTTACTGAATTTATAAACTTGGTCAGTGTTTCTTCAACACTGGATTCCCTTCTCTGATAGTTGGTGTCAATTTTATATCTTAAACTGTTAATTTTTAAGAATCAAGTTCACATTACTTTTGCTAGTGAGAAGCTCACATATAATGTAGAGTCATGGAGTAGATACTACATGACTTCGTATGAGCTTGAGGTGATCCAAGAAAGATCTTAATGTTTGTAAATAACTGCTGTCCTTTTGTATTTCACATATTGAAAATAATGTGTGGTATAACCTTAAGGTTTTCAATATCTGCAGACAAAAAGATGGTTGAGGGAGATAGTTTAAAATAACTGCTATAGATAGGTCTTTCTGTATAATTTTTACAGTTTGCTTTTCTTATAAGAGGAGCATTAAAATTAGAAAATATTAATCATTTTGTAGCTTTGAGATATTATTTGCACCAACTTTGTCACATATTCATTTAGTTCAGTTCAGTCGCTCAGTCGCATCTGACTCTTTGCGACCCCATGAATAGCAGCACTCCAGGCCTCCCTGTCCATCACCAACTCCCGGAGTTTACCCAAACTCATGTCCATTGAGTTGGTGATGCCATCCAACCTTCTCATCTTCTGTTGTCCCCTTCTCCTCCTACCCTCAATCTTTCCCAGCATCAGGGTCTTTTCAAATGAGTCAGCTCTTCACATCAGGTGGCCAAAATATTGGAGTTTTAGCTTCAACATCAGTCCTTCAGTGAACACTCAGGACTGATCTTTAGGATGGACTGGTTGGATCTCCTTGCAGTCCAAGGGACTCTCAAGAGTCTTCTCCAACACCACAGTTCAAAAGCATCAATTCTTTGGCACTCAGCTTTCTTTATAGTCCAACTCTCACATCCATACATGACCATTGGAAAAACCATAGCCTTGACTAGAGGAACTTTTGTTGACAAAGTAATGTCTCTGCTTTTCAATATGCTATATAGGTTGGTCATAACTTTCCTTCCAAAGAGTAAGAGTCTTTTAATTTCATGGCTGCAGTCACCATCTGCAGTGATTTTGGAGCCCAGAAAAGTAAAGTCAGCCATGGTTTCCACTGTTTCCCCATCTATTTCCCATGAAGTGATGGGACTGGATGCTGTGATCTTAGTTTTCTGAATGTTTTAAGCCAACTTTTCCACTCTCCTCTTTCACTTTCATCAAGAGGCTCTTTAGTTCCTCTTCACTTGAATTTTTCATTAAGAATAATGCATTCTTCTCTGGAAAGTTAAATAACCAGACCCAGAATCACTGCAACTTGACTGTGATCCAGAAATGAAAAGGAGAGTCCTAGAAAGCATTTAAGGATATTTAAAAAAAACACACACACAGATGTAGTAGGAACTGCTTTAAAGCAGGCTATAATCTGTGCACACTGATAAAAGCGTATCATATAGAAGAGACCTTGTATTAACAGGGATGTCAGTATAGGCTATATGTAACAACATATTTCTGTAACTTGGTATCTAACTAATAAAATGAAGTTTGACATTTGGTTGCATCCTATATTTCTTTAGTAGCTTCTGTTAATTGTCTTAGTCTCTTCTGGTGAAGGGATTTCTTTGAAACCCATAAGAAAACAAATTAATAAACTTTGAGGGAGGTGTTAATAAGATACATATGGCAAGGAAAGGGAGCGGGGAATAGAGACCGGATGACTTAGGAGATGTCTTACTGTCATTCAGATAAGGAGTATTAATTTTGGAATGGCTCTCTATAAAGGAGAAAGTGACTGGATCTGCACTGATTGGATATCGCAGTCTTTTGAAATGTCTTTGGATTCCAGCATTCTGTAAATAAGCTGGTTATAGGCTGACTCTGAGGGGAATAGCGTGGCTGCAGGCCATATAAAGTGAACCCATGACTCCAGTAATATTAATAGAACTGCTATTAATCTGGTGGTGTAAACATACTAATACATCCCAACTCTGGTTACTTATTAGCTGTCTATTGTTAATTTATTTTAAAAACTGTGATAAGCTTCACTTTCTTCATCTGTAGGATGAAAATACTAGTGCCTTTCTCAAAGGATTATTGCAAAGGCCTTAAGTTATGTGGCCATATTAAGCAAAAAAAGCTGTGCACACACTGCATGAAACTTTTTATTTGAATAATCTTTTTTTTTTTTTATTAACCCCAGACTGTGTTTGGTTTCATCAACTTTTCCGTTAATGTCCTCCCTCTCTTCTGGCTAGTCCAGGCAGCTACATTGCGTTTATTGTCATGTTTCCTTGCTTTCTTGGATACATGACAGTTTCTCAATCTTTCCTTGTTTCTTGTGATCTTAACAGTCTTGAGGAGTACCGGACAGGTGTCCTGTAGAGTGCCTTTTCATTTAGGTTTGCCTGTCGTTTTTCCACATGATTAAGTGGAGTCGTGAGTTTTGGGAAGGAATACCATAGAGATGAAGGGCCCTTCTCGTCACGCATTATCAGGGGTACCCAAAGCTGCCTGATGTCTGGTGATTTTAACCTTCAGCGCTTGGTAAGGGTGCTGTCCTGGATTTCTTTGCTGCTTGGTTGCTACTTATCTCTTCCGCTACTTTGCCTAGTCTTCGGAACCGAGTTGCTAAAGCTAAATCTCACCAACTCTTGGAAGGGAGGGTAACTAAACTCCACCTCTTGGAGGGAGGAATATCTACATATTAAATTATTTGTAGTTCTTCTGTAAAGAACATTTGTTAGGTATTATTTATTACTAATAAATTTGTATATGTATATAGGATGACTGAAAATCTCTAATCACTTTCCAAAACTTGTTTAAAAATATGCTGCCACCATAAACCACACAATTAGGAATGTACTAGACAGTGAGAAACTGAATCTGGTGGAAGCTGTTTCTGAAATCTTAGGCTTAAAACAGTGGCGAGTATTGGAGATGTGGGTTCAAGGGGAAGGCGTGAAGTCAGAAATCCTCTTTTGTTTTGATAGAAGCAGATAGGCTCGAGATAACAGTTGGTATCTGTATGTGTCTTCTAGGTGCATAATTCATAGTAGGAGTGCCTCTCACGTCAGATGACCCGCCGAACTCTCCACTGGAGGACTACTTAGGTGTCTATGCAGGCTGTTCAAACTGACTCTCTTCCGCTCACTTCCAGCCAGCAGCCACTAGCAAAACTGCTCCTCTGTTTGTGTACTTCATCTCAGTAAGTGTTACCACGTCCACCTTGGCTTCCTGCAGAGGATCATGGGAGATATTCTGGATTTTTCCTTCATCCCTGCTTATAAGACATAATCTCTAACCTAACAGATATATGATTCTGGGAAATCACTTATCCATTCTGAGTCTCAGAAGAAGTATAATAAGCTCATAAGTTTATTATGAGGATTCAGTGAGATCATGCATGGTAAAGTTCTTGGCATGATATATATTGTACACATTCGATGAAGGTCATTGGATATGACATTTCTTAAATATATTTTAAATCAGGGATACTGTAATTGGCCACTGGTCCTTTTAGTTCTATAAATTAGAGACTCTTTCCTAGAGTGTTACCCTGATATCTTAAATATTGTCTCTACTCCCATCCATTTCCCTCTCTGCTTGGAAGGTGACCTCTCATAGACTAGTTGACTATGCCACTCCCCTGCTGAGACTCCCTTCCGGTCTTCCGTGCCGTCCAGGATGTGCCGCCTTTCCCCATGAGCCGTGGGTCTTTTCGAAGCAGCTCTGGTTGCCCTCCTGTCTCGGCTGCACTAAGTCTGCCTTCTCACCCTGGGTCCCTGCGCAGCAGCTGCTGTTCCTCGTGTGTTAACAGGCTCTGTCCCGCTGCCCCCGTTCAGCATGCAGGGTGCGGCAACTCCGCGGGCCCTTCGCCAAGCAGAACGCCTTTGTCCACATCCTCTTGTTTCCTTTTGTTTGGGGTAGAGCCAAGTACCAATGTCGTGGTAGGTTCAGGTGACCAGCGAAGGGACTCGGCCATGTGTCCACTCTCTCCCAAGCCCCTTCCGTCCAGGCTGCCCAGTAATGTAGAGCAGAGCTCCTTTGCACCGCACACGCGTGTTAACTGTACAGACACCCTTGTCCTCTCGTGGGAGCACGGGACAGCCTTGCCTGACTCACACACTCTGCTTCTGTCACTGAGGCCCCGCCAGCAGACTCCCGTGCCTCTCCTTCTGGACTGGGGCGCCTCTAAGATAGTTTCACCCCATGTGGCTGCACAGACGCAGGCAGAGAGAAGATTCTTGACTGCTCTGCTAAGGATATAGGTTATCAGTTCAGTTCAGTCACTCAGGCGTGTCTGAGTCTTTGTGACCCCATGAACTGTAGCACGCCCAGCCTCCCTGTCCATCACAAACTCTAGGAGCTTGCTCAAACTCATGTCCATTGATGCCATCCAACCATCTCATCCTCTGTCAACCCCTTTTCCTCCTGCGTTCAATCTTTCCCAGCATCTTTTCAAATGAGTCAGCTCTTCTCATCAGGTGGCCAAAGTATTGGAGTTTTAGCTTCAACCTCAGTCCTTCCAATGAACACTCAGGACTGATCTCCTTTAGGATGGACTGGTTGGATCGCCTTGCAGTCCAAGGGACTCTCAAGAGTCTTCTCCAACACCACAGTTCAAAAGCATCAATTCTTTGGCGCTCAGCTTTCTTTATAGTCCAACTCTCACATCCATACATGACCACTGGAAAAGCCATATAGGTTATATTGTGACTGAATTATCCTAACTGGAAATTGTAGTAGCCCCATGGTGGTCGCTATTCTCCTCTAGGCCAACCATATCTTTTCAGAGGATGAGGCAAGATTCAGGCAGATGTCTGGAAGAGATGCATCTATAATGGGTCTCTCCTGTTTTCAGACAGGGCTACTATTGGTGGTGTTGTCAAGTCTCAGATTGTAAAAACACTTAAAATGCATGTTTGTCAGTTGTGTCTGCCTTTGGCAACCCCAAGGACTGCAGCCCACCAGGCTCCTCCGTCCATGGGATTCTCCAGGCAAGAGCGCTGGAGTGGGCTGCCGTTGCCTCCTCCAGGGGACCTTCCTGACCTGGGGGTCCAGCCTGCATCTCCTGCACTGGCAGGTGGATCCCTTACCACTCGAACCTCCTGGGACGTACGATTAAGATGTGTGTACATCTACACTATTAAGATTCTCACTTACATTTTCAAGACTGTAAAGCTGGGCAGCACCTTAGACATTGAGCACAGAAAGAGCATGTGTCTCTCCCAGTGGTAGAGTGCACCAGAGCCTTGGCCTCTGTACTCTGACTCTGTGACACACTTCCTTTCCTCATGAGTGTCGTTTAAGAGCCTAGGGTTTAAATTAAGCCATTCCTAGCTCTTCCTCCAATAGCTTTCCTGAATTATTTCAGAATACAACATTTCTTAATCTCTAAGAAACTGTTCATATTGTGATTTTTAAATTGACACTATTTTCTACTTTGTATGTTGTGCTTTTTTTTTCTTTTTTGAGGAGGATATAGTCTTAAAAAGTAAAATGCAATAAAACTATTAAACATTGGATAATATTTTACACTCCACTTCTTTCACATTTTGGACAGTATTAAAAAACTTCTGTCCCTGCAAGTACTGTTATCACATTTAGGAGTCTTAGCATGCGTGTCAGAGCACACTCTGTTCCTGTTGATCTTTGCAGGGCTGAGATTCTCATTCTTTCACAATTCATTAAGAAAGTAGCCGATGTGTGTGTCCCATCCACTTTAAAATAGCTACCTGTGTTAAACAGTAGCGTTATTAAGTAGCTTTATTTGTTCTTTCTGACTCCAGGAAAGCTGAATGTTTGAGCAGATGAATTGATTAATATATTACTGCAGTATTTAACAGTACTTGGACTGGAAAAATTACATAGAAGTATTTTTATGGTGCCAGCAGATGTCATGAGATCAAGGCTATTTTCTTACAGCCGGGGATGCTATTGATTCTAAAAGTTATTTATAAGAGAAACACACTGGATATTTATTCTTAATTTCAGCTAATGTTGCCAGCATCCGATTTTCTTTAAATAAATATGCTTGTCTTTTTTTCCTAACCCCAGTAGCTTTGCTGACTATAGTGATAGATTGTCAAGTTAGGTTTGAATTCCTTTAACTGATAAGAAAAACAACTTTTATTTATTGTTGATAGAAATGGCAGAGATTTTCATTATCTGTAACAGGGAAAATTGAAACAATGTCTTATTTTTTTATTCACATGACTATATTTAAGCTGAAGAATTCAATGCTAATAATACTTGATGCTATATCTCATTTTCCTTTCTTAGTCTGCTTTCTCTGACATGAGTCAGCACAACCATTTTTAAATTTCTCTTAAACAACTTCTACTTTGGCCCCTGTAACTGGTTTTTATCCTCATAATTCCATTAAAAAGTGACAGGTGAGTTCCACTTGACTTCCACCTCCCAAATTGATTCTTTGATATCACTTAATGAACCTAACTGCCTGTCAATCTGCTGATCAGTTTTCCCTTACCTTTTTAAAAGTTGTAACAACCATGCTCTGTGTGCCATGAAATGCTGAGCATTCGTGGACAAAGTTTACTGACGTCAATAAAACTGACCTTAAGATTCAGGTAGGTGTGTGTATCATGGCATGCGAACAGTGTTATCAGTCCCAGGAGTAAATGGTTCTCACAAATAACTGTCATTTGTATAAGCTGTGTTCAGCCAAACCACATTTCTAGTTCTATTCTTCTATGTCTGTCCGCAAACATCAGTGTTCATGGGTTTTCCAACCCCTGTGTAGAGTAGGGGTTCCTGACTTTAATCCATAGACCTCCTATGTGGTAGGACGACATGAGACTCATGAAGCTGAAATCGAAATATTATGTGTAGTCTTTTTTCTGATGGAAGTGACCACAGCTTTCATCAAGTTTTCAAAGACGTTTAAGGAGCCCTGATGTTTGAGATTCATTCAGACATATACATTCTTTTATCTGTTCTGAAAAGCTGGGTAGCACGAGGCTTGCGTCGATCTAATCATTTAGTGGACATCGTTTTCCCCATTTCTGCTGCCCTTCCCAGTATATTTATCCTTAAACAGAGCTTTTTATATTCTTGCATACTGTTTTTATCTCTTCTGTGTTCCCTTTAGTTAGGATACTGTTATGTGTGCGTGCTAAGTTGCTTCCGTCACGTCCGACTCTTTGTCATCCCATCAACTGTGGCCCCGAGGCTCTTCTGTCTGTGGGATTCTCCAGGCAAGAATACTGGAGTGGGTTGCCATGCCCTCCTCCAGGGGGTCTTCCCAACCCAGGGATTGAACCCCACGTCCCTTATATCCCCTGCATTTGTAGGCAGGTTCTTTACCACTATTGCCACCTGGGAAGTGCCAAAGAAAAAGTGAAAAGTCAAAGTCGCTCAGTCGTGTCTGACTCTTTGCGACCCCATGGACTGTATAGTCTATGGAATTCTCCAGGCCAGAATACTAGTCGATCTAATCATTTAGTGGACATCGTTTTCCCCATTTCTGCTGCCCTTCCCAGTATATTTATCCTTAAACAGAGCTTTTTATATTCTTGCATACTGTTTTTATCTCTTCTGTGTTCCCTTTAGTTAGGATACTGTTATGTGTGCGTGCTAAGTTGCTTCCGTCACGTCCGACTCTTTGTCATCCTATCAACTGTGGCCCCGAGGCTCTTCTGTCTGTGGGATTCTCCAGGCAAGAATACTGGAGTGGGTTGTCATGCCCTCCTCCAGGGGATCTTCCCAACCCAGGGATTGAACCCCACGTCCCTTATATCCCCTGCATTTGTAGGCAGGTTCTTTACCACTATTGCCACCTGGGAAGCGCCAAAGAAAAAGTGAAAAGTCAAAGTCGCTCAGTCGTGTCTGACTCTTTGCGACTCCATGGACTGTATAGTCTATGGAATTCTCCAGGCCAGAATACTGGAGTGTGTAGCCTTGTCCCAAAGGATACTGTTATATGCAGGTGCAATTGTGCCAACTCAGGTTGCCTTTACCAATGGAATGGATTAATTGGCTGAAGTAAGTAAAGTCCAGAGGTTGTTCAGGTTTTACCTGTGGTTTTACTTGGAACACATTTATTTTTCTTCATTTCTTTCAATGTTGCCCTCCTAAGTTGGTTGGTTTGTTTTCATGCCAGCATTCCTCATGGTAGCAAGATGTAGCAGTTTGAATCCTGGTGGTGGTTGGCAACTAACCATCATCCAGAACAGTAGGGTTTTC